TGTGAATGGCTGGCAAGAACATTGCATGAAAACTGCCCTGAGGCACTCGTTTTATGTTTTTCCTTGCATAGACTGTGTTACAGCATCTTTGTTGAAAGCAGCATTGTCTGACTTTTTGATTGCTTTCTTGCAATTAATATATGATACTGTCTGAAATTGATTTCAGTATTTTTCCAATAGAATTCTCTTGTTCTTTTGCTTGTGTACCTTCTTCCAACTTTCTAGAAACCATTCCTTTCTATTATCCTCATCTGTTCTTTACCTTTGTTCAGTGTATTTTCCAGATATGTCCACTCAGGTGGCAAAATGCATTGGTTCTGCATGATAGATTAATTGTTCTCTAATTATTTGGTCATATGTCTTGATCTTTTCTTCCTAAATCATATAAATAGAGGCCTGCAGAATGTGGACAAGTATCACAGCTGCCTGAGAAACTTGGAAATTGGCACAGCATGAAATTAAAAAAATTTCAAGGTCTGATTAAGCATCAAAGAGAGTTCTAAAACCTGGTAATGGCTTAGCTTCCATGTTCAATATGTTGCATTCTTTGCTCATTCGTTAATTCAGCAAACTTTTGTCAAGCATTTACTGTGTCAATCATTTTTCATTGTCTGTATTTCATTTACTGAAAGCAGTGCTTGCCATCTTTGTTTCTTAGACATTTTGAGGTGTGTTCCCAAAGTGATTGTAGAAGTGTTTTTCAATGCTGTGCTATTCAAAGTGTGGTCAGTGGGCCAGCAGCACTGGCAACATCTGGGAGCTTATTAGAAATGCAGAATCTTAGGCCCCATTCCAGTCCTCCTAAATTAGTCTGCATTTTAACAAGGTTGTTAGATAAATTAAAGTTTAACAAGCACACATATAGCACTCAATTGTTGCCATCTTTTTTTTGTTAAACAACCAATTTTTAATCATTTAGTTGCTTTCTTAGAGATGTGATATCTTTTCATGTGAATGTAATTTTAGTAATATCTTTAGAAGATATTTTCTATTTTTAAAACTATAAGAAAAAAGGGTAAAATACAAGAATAAATGCTCTTTATTTTGGAAAGATATAATTAAAAGCCTATTGGAAGTAGAGTTTAAGTAATTTTCATATCTTCTGAAACTTTTATAAGAGGTTGTAATTTCTTGTAGATCTTTATGAGTGATCTTGGAGTAAAGTCTGTTGTGTAGAAAAAAACTCAACATAGAAATGCTATTCTGATGATCCCTTCAGGACCAGTGGTGTGAGTGGCGATACTGGGAGGGTGGGTTGGAAATGGGGAACCAATTACAAGGATCTACATGTGACCTCCTCCCTGGGGGACGGACAGCAGAAAAGTGGGTGAAGGGAGACGTCGGACAGGGCAAGATATGACAAAATAATAATTTATAAATTATCAAGGGTTCATGACAGAGGGGGGAGCAGGGAGGGAGGGGTAAAAATGAGGAGCTGATGCCAGGGGCTTAGGTGGAGAGCAAATATTTTGAGAATGATGAGGGCAATGAATGTACAAAAGTGCTTTACACAATTGATGTGTGTATTTTGGATTGTGATAAGAGTTGTATGAGCCCCCAATAAAACGATTAAGCTCCCCCTCCAAAATAAAAGAAATGCTTTCCATTTTCAGTCAGATGAATAATGAATCCATGTCTGGAATCCTTGGAAAATAGTTCTAAGTCATCAGCATGTTCTCAGTTCATCATCATCATCATTATTATTATTATTATTTTACAGAGGAAGTATGAAGTCAAATGCTGTTCTTGAATTATTATTATCTTAGAATAAAATGGTAGTTTGGAATTAAGATTTTCTGAGGGCAATATATGACAAAATAATAATTTATAAATTATCAAGGGCTCATGGGGGGGAGCAGGTAGGGAGGGGAAAAATGAGGACCTAATGCCGGTTGCTTAAGTGGAGAGGAAATGTTTTGAGAATGATCAGGGCAACGAATGTACAAATGTGCTTTACACAATTGATGTATGTATGGATTGTGATAAGAGTTGTATGAGCCCCTAATAAAATTATTAGAAAAAAAATATTTTCTGTCTGGGTCAAGTTTGATTAAGAATTCAAGAAAAAGAATCTTGGAAATTACTCCTAATGTAAAGAGGACGTGAAGAGAATTTTATTTCCTTTATTTAAGTATAAGTAATCCTTACTTAGGGATAACCTATTTAAAAATATATGTGGTAAAACAGACAGGCTAAAACAACAACAACAACAAAAACTCTAGACAGGCTTATTGAGTCAGATAGAGGTTGGTGGAACCTCGAAGACTATGGCCCTTAGATCTGGAACTGAACTCCCTTTTGTTAGAATAATCAACCATTAAAAGGGGCAGCATTTACTCAAGAACAAAGTTCAGAGGGTTTGGAAAGGCGGAAGCGAAATGGGGAAACAGGGAGGAAGTGGGACAAGTGATGGCACACTGAGGGATTGCAGTGTATGAATGAGTTGAAATAAAATGTGTATGAATTGTTGAATGTATAACTGATCTGTATACCTTCACCCAATTCATAATAAAATATTTAAAAATAATGTGTATATGGATTGACAAATGTTTTGTGTATTGTTTATAAACACTGGATTATAAATCTTATTTGTTCAGTAATTTTGATGACCTGGTAAGCAGGGCTAGAAAATGAACTCCTCTTAAACAAATATTTTTAATTTTTAAAATAATTTGAGGAGATTGGCAGCAAGAGCCCCTATAAAGGCTTGTTATTTATTTTTTTATTAAGTAAACCATTTATTTCAGTTCTACATGTTGGCAGTGTGACCTTGGTCAGGTTACGTTCAGAATCCCAATTTCCTCTATTATCTATAAGATTAGTTGACTTTTTTCCTGCCAGTTGCTTGAAAGGTTCATTTGAGATAGGTAACATTCCTGACATGGAGCTTGACACAGAAACTGCATAATGCCTGTTAGCTTTCTTTCCTTTACACCTCTTAATCCATTTGCCATTATTTTCTAGATAAAGCTTTTATTTTAAATGCGATTTCTCATGAAGTTGTCTTTCGTTATACTAATTAAAGTTGGATCAAGAATGTGAACTCCATGAAAACATAGACTGTTTTGTTTTGTTTTGTTTACTGATGTATCCCTAGCACTTACACAGATCTTTACTAGGTTCTTAATGAGTAATTTCCGTTGAATGACTTTCATGCATTTGAAGTAAAGATACTTGAATAAATTCCTTGGAAAGCCCCTTTGCAGTTACGTTTGTCAGATATCGCTGCCATTGAGTCGATTCTGACTCATAGTGACCCTTTAGGGTACAGGAGAGCTGTCCTTTTTAGATTTTCAAGACTTTAAATTTTTGTGGGTGTAGACAACCTCATCTTTATCTCATGGTGGGTTCAAGCTGCGGACTTGATGGCTTAGCAGCTCAGAACATAGCCCACTACACCACCAGAGCTTTACTGTCAGATATATGTCATTGAAATTAATTAATTCAACCAATTTTTGTGAATGCCTGTTATGTGCCAGATACTATTCTAGGCATTAGGTATACAGTGATTGAAAAAAGGCAGACAAGGTTCATGTCCTCGTGGAATTTACATCTTAGCTGTGGTAGGGCTGGGGGACAAACCAGTGAAGAAAGATAATGAATCAATAAGTAAGATGATTTCAGATAATGGTAAAATGCAGTAATGTTATGATAAGGACTACTACTTTAAAGAGAGTGTGGGTAGACCTCTCTAAGAAAGTGACATCTGGGCTGATGAGCAGGGAGTCCTTTCAGGTATAGTAGTGCATGCAAGTGTAATTTCATCAACAGTTAACCTCATTGCCTGGTGTCTCAAAAGTACCTTTGTATGCTGATTATTCTTTAGTAAATAAAGCGTGACATGCTCTGTTATTGTAAGTCTTGACTGATCATCCTGGGGTGTGGTTTTTTTCTGTTTGTCCTTTTCTTTCCTGTGTTTTTATTTTTAATTTCTATTATCTTTTTTTAATTTATTTTTTTTTAAATCATTGGGGGCTTGTACAACTCTTATCACAATCCACCCGTACATCCATTGTGTCAATCACATTTTTGCATTTGTTGCCATAATCATTACCAAAACATTT